CGCAGCGGTGAAGAGTTTCGGGGATATAACATCACCCTGTCTTACACCTCTCTGCAATTGGATAGGTTTCGTACTCTGGTTCTGTACTCGGATAGCCATCGTAGCCCTACTGTACAAACACTTCAGCACTTCAATATACCGACAGTCAACTAGGCACCGCTGAAGAGACTGTAGCACCGCCCAAATTTCGACGGAATCAAAGGCTTTCTCATAGTCCACATGCGCCAGGCAAAGTGGCAGATTGTACTCTTCGGACTTCTGTACAATTTGCCGAAGGGTATGTATGTGGTCTATGGTACTGAAGCCTTTTCGGAAACCGGCTTGTTCGGGAGGCTGGAAGTCGTCGAGTCTGCGTGCGAGACGATTCGTAATGACTCTCGAAAACAGCACGTAGACGCGGTTCAGAAGGGAAATCGGTCTGTAGTTCTTCAAGAGAGCGTTGTCGCCTTTCTTATAAATAACTAATTTTAATTTGCTTAGCATTCAGTATTATTTAATAATAATATTTTTAAATCAATACATCCAAATACGGACATTGAAGTCATACTTTATTTTTTTTAAACAAACAAGACCTCTATTAATGCTTACCATCTTTGAGTGGTTTTAAATACTAACTGTAGGAACTATCACTGTTCGACGGAACGTGCATGTGATCCAGTGTTAAATTGTAAATCAACGATTTAATGACTTAAAAAAATAATTAAAATTGAATTTGGTCATTTGATTTATTGTGAACCTTATCAATTTATTGATTAAGTGCAACTTAAACGTCTTAATATATAAGAATGTAAACTGTTAAACCACTTGATCTATAAGTTTTAAAAGAATTGTTTTATATGTGATAAATGTTTTTGTTTTTAAATTTAGTGATATAATACCAGATCAGGCTTTTACTTGTGAAAGTACTAAGGAATTATCCTACAGTAGGGTTTTTATGGAGTTAATTTTATATCTTCATTTCACCCTCTTTATTTCTATCTCTAATCTTAGCTAAGTGCACATCGCGTAATCCCACTCACTGCAAAGCGTTAGAGTGAGACAATGGAGAGAGTACGACGAGATTACACGCGTTTGTGTTATTTAATTACAAAGTTATGAAAATTTCATAAATAAAACAAAACAAACTTAGCTGATAGGGCTTAAGGCGTGTGAGTACTATGAATTATGTATGAAGAAATTAATCGTATTTTATAATTAGCCTTTGGTCGGTTTTGTCTTTGTATTAAATTTCATTTAATCTATATAAATGTAGCTAAATTTAAATAATACCAAAACTGTGTGTATGTGGTGGAACGTATGACGAATTCGGTTTGCTTGACAAAATACGTACTTGTTTTACAGTGTTGTCCAGAGTGGCGAACTCCGGTTTTAAACCAAGTTTTAGTATTTTATAAAAAAAAAGTACACAAACATACACACCATTTGCACCGTCGTATATTCATTATTTATAAATCATAAATACTGCACGTAATAAAACAATTATATAATTATTCTACTATAGTGAAAATTATCACTTTAGTATGCATCTGTGTAGGGATATAGTCTATATCTGCCTAATCGTGTGCAAAGGCCCCTCATACCCCAGCTTTTACATCTCTGTGACACTTGATACCGACATTACGTGGCACAGATGTATCAGGGGATCAAGAGATGTCGCCAGTTAACCCTAAAATGAGAACGTTGATGAGTAATAATAGTAATGGATTATTTCAATGCTGTCATAGGATTGTCATATCTTGCCTTGTAGGCCGTATAATTATGCATTTAAATAAATAATTAATTACAATCAAAATATAAGTAAGTATTATATTATAATAAGTATATTATGCGTACATGATTCTTTGCAGTGTAGGAATGAAATTATTTGAATTTCGCATTACTTTATAGAATATGATATCTGAATGTTATTTAGCTTTTTCATCGCAAAATGTCGTCGTCGTCTATAGTATATAAAAATCAATTGCTGTCCGTTAGTCGATTTTGATAATTTTTTGTCTTTGATTGGGTCCCTAGACGATTTAGGTTAATATTTAGAACCGGTAGGTGGTGCTGTTGTCGAGATCCAGAAATCACCTGAGTGAGTCCGGGCGGATCGCAAGTATTCAATAAAAAATTGGAATTATATATATATATATTTTTTTTTTTTTTTTCATATGCGTGTGTATTATATGTATATAAGTTATCAGTCTATCAGACTGACTGACTGTTCACGAGATCTCTAAAACTATACACCCGATTAATTTCAAATTCAGTATAGTTACTCATTTCGCAATGTAGACGCCCACTAAGAACGGATTTTAGGATAGTCTCATTTAAAACAGTTTTCTTTTCATCGGTTTCTTCATCTAGGTTCCGCAATAAAATATTATCATGCGTCCAGCGAAGTGAGAATCAGCTTAGTTTCCTATATTACAGCGATTAAACATGAAATGTAAGGGTTTATACCTTAAATATAACATCTTAAATAATAAATAGGTTAATTTTCATAATTTTAATGTTTTAGTGATAATTTATACTTTAAATTTTGGTATAATGATACTTAACAATTTCTCTGTCCGCGAAATTGACACGATAGTTACGAGTATACAACGAACAACATATGACTCAAGGGACAGTAAAATGGTTAATACCACATAACATTACATATTGTGATGATAGTGCAGGTATATAAAATAAAATAAATAAAATAAAATGTAATATGAAAATAAGTGTTATTTAGCTTTCAGAGGCAATACTTTACTCAAGTTGGGTCACGATGGCCAGTATGAACTGAGTCAATCTATCTCCGCAGGACATGATTATAAGGCACGAGTGTGTACCTATGCACGCAATCACAAGTACACCTTCTATTCCCTCACTCTCATAGTCCAGAGACGGCAATCGGACACGATCTTCAGAATTAGATATTAGATCATAAGTGTGAAACATAGTTCGTGACTCCGCGGTTGTACTGAAAATTTCTTGACAGCAAAGCCCAGTAACAGATTTTGCACTGATCCGGCATTTGTACAAGACCAACAAAGCAGTTAAAACGCCAAACGTATGCTTTCAGGAATGTTATGCTCATTAAGGTAATGGTATTACCATTACCTTAATTACCATACCATACATTTCATTAATGTAACTTACTCTCTGATGCCACGAAGAAACTCATGTTCGAAGTGACAATAAAATTTTCAGTCTTTCCATAGTCACAGATACAGCGTTATTATGGAATAATGAAGAAATGAACAAAAAAGAATAGGTAATGAAGAATAAACTGATTTCTTAAATTAAAAGTTATGACTTTAATATGCAAATACATACTTATTTTTTAAATTTCTCAGTCGAATGTAAGATATCTTTACAGTTTAAGGGTATAAAACATTAATCATATTAATAATACCGTTACCCTGATACAGTTAATGAATACAGTTAATTACTCATTTATATATATTACTTGTGGTATTTCCTACAACGTAATTTTTTATTCTTTTATTATCAAACAGTAATATTATAATGAAAGACTTGCATTGGTCTTATTTTTCTTATTCGAAACACTTAAATATCAAACAATATGGAGTTTAAATGGAGTTTGAAATAAATGTAAAATTTTGGTTCAACTTAGTTTTCTTGTAAATAAATAACTAAAAATGCGGGACCAATTATTACATGGCACCGTTTATTTGTGACTATTGAGATCGTTTTATTGCACACAGATTGGGGCGAATTGCTTAACAATTACAAACAGGCGGGAGTTTGCAGCGCCACTTCTGTAACGCGACACTAATGGTTCTTGAAGGGTGTGGACATAAGTATATAATTTATTGCATCGATTATTGCACTTTTCAAAGAATAATTCTTAGATGTTTTATTTAATTAAATAAAAAAAATGTTATACCTAAATTGAAATATCGTATTTTTTTACGAAATGTAATGAAACAATTGCGATGGACGTGGTTTTATATAAACAAAATTAGTTTACCCTGCAGGCCATCGCTGGAACTTCCCGCTAATTTCAAATTCAAAGCACTCCAAATTTCACCAAATTATGACGTTGAATATGAAATATCAGAATAATTTAAAAAAAATCAATTTTTACGAAATATTTCTATAACGATATCTCACGAACGAATCAACTGATTTTGACCGGACTGGCGGCAGTCGACATGGTTTTTCAAGGAGACATACAGACACCATCGAAAAATTGTCAGAGTGGCTTCCTGTGATCTCAAATCGTCAAGATTTGATGAAACCTCAATTTTCGAAAAACGGGGTATAAACAATAACTTTTTTAAAAATTTTCAATTTTCAATTTTATTAGCGGGAAGTTAATAAAAAGCCTAATAGAAGTTAAAAAAAAAATCATGTTTGTAATTAATCACAAATTAATTAAAAAGTGAATACGGACTCACAAGTTATCACAATCATTGTATCTACTCGTAAAAGTAAAAAATAAGTGTACCATATGCTACGACTGCCACATAACAGGTTAACTAACCAACTACAGTTAAATTTCGGTACAAGCAATTCGAATGCAAGCTGTATCACCAAAGAGAAGGTTAAATAAAACAGGCAAACGTGTGCACCATCGGCAAATCGAAACGAGAACGTATTACTTTAAAAGTGATCCCCAGTACCTACTATGAAACTGCCTATTTGAGAGTCAGGTGGCGCGCTTCGCATCTGTCGGAAGCGACTCCGAAAAAACCACGGAACCAAATAACGAGTTACAGAGGAACTCGGGGTCAGAGTCACTCATAAATAATTTAAAGTAATCCGGGGAAAACCCCTGTCCGCGGGCCGCCGGTAGAGCAGGCATGACTATTTGATGTGGGCTATGTAATACCTCTCGCGAATTAGAGCGGTCTTTGAACTAGTTATTTCAGTGTCTGAATAATTTTATGTTTGATTATTTTCTTGTAATTGTTTTAAAAGTGTCATTCCTGGTTTAAATATTTTAGAGGAATTTTAATTATTTTCATAATTTATACGTTTTAGCTTTTTATAATAAAACCTCAATGGTACAATTGTCATAGTCATAAGTTGTAGTACAATTAAATATAAGCTTAAGAATTCTATTTATTGATTTAGGTTTTATGTGATATTTAGGTATTTATTACTACTTCTGTTCATTTACTTTTAGCTCATATTGTTAGTTGTATTTATTACTTTATTAAAGCAATAGCTTATATTTTAGTCTGTGTCAAAACATATACAAAGAGTTTTTGTATTTATTGGAAACCTCTCTATACCTAATCAGTGTAATTGTGCAAAAATGTAAATGAGATTCTTTCTCCAAATGCTAATCTGCGATTGACACTCATATCCGTAGATGGTAATTATAGCTGCCCTATAATCCGGTTTAAAAAAACGATTCAATGGTACACGATCTAGCAACTTTTTAAATCGATTTGTGATAAAGCGATTTTCAGGCGAATCGAATCGCCTAAATCATATCCGTTTTGTGTTCTCATGACTAAGTGACCCATCTCACGTAGTATTTTTTTAATATTTTGTTAAATTTTTAAAATAATTATATTTCGATTGTCGGTAGAACTAAACGTATTTATTTATAACATTATCTTCTTTATATATGAAAATTACGTGTCACGTTTTTTGTCTGCCATAAACTCCCAAACTGAACTGATTTGAATATATTTTGCACACTGTGTGAAGTTTGGTCCAACTTGAGAGATAGGATAGTTTTTATGCCAATAAGTGACCCTCGATGTATATTATTACGAATATAATGATTTTTCTATATAACAGAGGGTCGTCGGATACGGCAGAACAACGTCTGCTTTAAATGTATCTACACTTACGAGATGGATTAAGAGCATGTTATATGCACATGATCTATTCGATCTAATAATTAATTCAATAAATAGCAATAGATCGTAGAAATTGCTACACTACTACGCTCACCAGCCCGCCAGCCTAACGTAAGTAGCGTGGTGGAATTTGTAAAAACTTTAAACTTTCCACAACTGTTGGCGCCATCATAAAAGAGCTACAAACAGCAATAAAATAGATTTGCTTGATCACGGGAATAATATGATTATGTTATTAACTAAAGTTTCACGACTTAGGATTTATAACAGGTTGTTAATAACTTGTTTTAGAAATAGATAAATTCCATAATGTAGGCACAATTCTAATTTCATGTTTGTGTCGATTATATTATGTAGGTACAAAGCAATTCTTTTTTTTTAATTTTTTTTTTTCAATTTTCTAATAATATAACCGAATCTCACTCCAATAATAACATATGCGTCACGTACGAATATTAGAAACAATTTAGAGTGTAGAGTTGAAATAAATACATAGAAGTACTTTTACAATAATGTGAAAATGAGTACCTATAATGAAATATGTAATAAGCAGATAACATTGTTCCAAGAGAATGAATTTCTGTCTTTATCACATTAGTCATCCAGTCCACTAAAATAAAAGGTGACAAATATACTCGTATAGAAAACATCTGTTTATGTGATATTGACAAAAAGTATAAAGCATTTTCTTGAATGCTAATTTAATTGCACTATCTACCAAGTTTCACGCATATAATATACATTTTTGTAGGTAAGTTATGGTAGCAGATGTTGCGTCCAATTAGTAAGACTATTATTGTATACTGTTATTATATACTGGATTTTACTATAGTTTATAAAATATAATAAGATACATAAAAATAACTAAACTAAAACTGGTTAAATTAAATGCAAATTATATAACTACATTTTAGAACTGTGTTTTATCAGAAGAATGTAACATGTAAAACACAGTTCTAAAATGTAGTTATATAATATGCATTTAATTTAACTAGTTTTAGTTTAGTTATTTTTATGTATCTTATTATATTTATAAACTATAGTAAAATCCAGTATATAATAAAAAATGATGGAACAATAATAGTCTTACTTATAAAGAAATTAAAAAATTTTATAACTATAATTTAAATGAATAACAAAATATAATTAATTTCAGAATTGAAGAACGTGGCTTTTTATTCAGATTGGTAATGTTTTATTAAAAAGATATATAAATTGATAGAATGGATCGCTCGACCGTAGTTGGATAAATTCGTTATAAAAGCTTTTAAAAGATTGTGGTATATATTTCAGTTAACACATTATCTATGCTTATAGGTTGCAATAATAAATAAAGTCAATAAAATTATATAATATCAAACAAACATTTTAAATCATTCAAACTTTTTATCAGGGTGACCTGTTCAGCGGCCTCAACGACGGATTGCTCAGCCGTGCGGAGGCGCTCGCCGCTGTTGATATAAGTAAACATCAGTCCGGACCTCAGCCAGGGCCGCCATTGCCGCAGCTAAAACATGACATGGTCTACCATCACGGTGTAGGAGGACCACCGTCACATAACGCCCGGCCGCATCAGGTACATTTGTGTCTAAATAGATCAATTCTATGTATCTCAACACCACCACTACATGGTAGTTTTGTTAGCTTAGTTACATGTTAAGTTAATTTTATGGTTTAGCAAGTAAAGCATAGCCTGATCTCTTTCCGGACGTGTCGGTTTACCGTCCGATCGGATTATGAGAGTGAGGGAATAGAGAGTGCACCTGTGCTTGCGCATACACTTGGGCACTATAATCCTGTCCTGCGCCGATGGCTAGCCTCCGTTTAGGCAGGCCGCCGTGGCCGGAATTCGGTCTGGAGGACATTAAAGGATAGTACTTTTAGTAAAACTAATATACTGGAAAATAATACAAGGCTGATAATTCACTTGAATGTAAATATTTCAAGGATTAACAAAAATTAACAACTCATTGTTTTGATGAATATTACATGACTATCGTAAAAAATCCACTTCATATATAAAGCATGGTATCATAGCAATCATTCAAATGAAATTCCGTGTCTATAAAACTAAAACGAACTCATAAAATTGTTACCAAATTGGTTCGCTCCTCGCCTTTTCTGCGACATAAATAATAATAATAAAAGTAAATGCATTTCTGTATGCCCCATACACCTTGGAAAATCTTTGAGAGTTCATATGTCGGTAGCGGAGGGTCCTCTCCTCAGGGATTTGGTTTGAGTGGGGTGGAGGAGAGAGATGTAACATGTAAGAAATATACACTATAAAAATGAGGTAATTTTATGCACTATTCAATGTGATATTGGCGATTGTATGCCCGCCCTACCAATAACTCCGTAATATTATTGTTGTATATGATTTCGAATATGTTCAATATTTTTAATATTGATAACTTTAAGAGGTTTTAATAACATATCTGAGGTGCGAAATTCAGAAATATGAAAACCCAGTATGAATTTGTTATATTTGAGAACAATCAATGCTGCAAAATATTTAATAGATTATCTTAATAAAAAGGTGTACAAAAATACGTTATTAACAGCATCTTGGCAAGTGATTGTCTCATAAATAATGTATCTACGTATTCAATTATTCCAGTACGAGCATTAAACACTGAATAGTGGCGTTGTTATCTAGGACATATATCATATATTGCTCTTTCGTTTTTTTTAATGTTATCGATATAATAGAGCTTAATATTTCTATTCCTATAATAAAAAACTTTCACATTTTAAGAAATTTCCTTTATTTTTTGTTCTATTACGATATATTATATATATATATCATGACATATATCATATATATATATATATATATATCATGACCTGTAAATAGATCGTAATTCGTTATAGGAAAAGACAACGAGGAGATTGAAAAAATATACGAACTTTCTATACGCAAGAAAATACAAACATAATTCTGTAGAAAATCTTCCATGTCGTCTCACTGATACAACCCTTTTTATAAAACCAAATGTTACTTTGTCGGTCTACAAGATAAAAAAAAAACTTTTGGTCGCTATTTCTTCTACAAGTTCCCCTCTTGAACGACTGGGGATATCTTGCCCGCGTAATGCGTACTTTATTGCCCAAGGAACTCAAATGGCTCAGTTTGGGGATCGTATTTGTCTCTAATCTGAATGAAAAACTGTTGTGGATCAAATCTTTAGAAAATTACGTTGATCATGCAATTAGATAGAATTCTGATTAAAAAAAGATAACTACTGGATGCTATGTACAATATACATAAATATTTGCGAATCACAATGGTTATTGAATATTTAGTATATAACTAAAAGGTAATAAAATAGAATGTAACTTTCTGCTTCACTTTTAAAATATTCACGATATAATGTCAAGTAAACAATAGAAATCCCAATTTAGTGCGAAGGCTTTGTTTTGTTTATGGAAAGGTAATACAGCTGGTAGTTTCTCGTTTTTTTTCCATAAAATCATCAAAAATAAATATTATAGTAAGATTTATTTATAATATACTTTAAAGCTATAAATATATTTTTAGCACCATACCATTTAGCTTACTACAACCATAGGTTGCAATGGCGTAGTGGATTTTCACTCGACCTATTCATATATAGTGGGCTGCCCTACACTTCATTTATCGGTAAGATGCTTCCAGTCGAGACCTTTTCCTCCCCATCACTTTTAATAAAATTGAACGCCATATTTATCATGCTTGGTTGGCGGGTTGGCATTAACTTGGTAACTTAATTAATAAAGTAAAATTAAAATCACTATAAAAAAACTTACAAAACTTACATAATCTCAATTTAGATGTAATAACAATATTTTTTCATTGATATTATTCACACTTCTAGGTCAGCATATATGTTTTGTTTTTTGTTTCTTAAATAATATTGTCTAAACATCGTAAAATCTTACGGTACATCACGAAAAATATAAGATATTTTATATTTCAATTTATGGTAAGTAACGCACCCATTCATTTAATAAAAGTTTCATATTTTTTTAATGGTAATTTACTACATAATATATACATTTTACATTCTTAGTATACAGGTTTTTGTAACTTAAAGAGTTTATAATATATTACAAAAATTATAATAATAAACTTAACTAAAATAATAATTAAAATTATAATATTTACGATTAAAACTAATTAATTCATATTAATTAGTTTTAATCGCAAATATTATATATTATAAATATTATAAAAAATATAATATAATATTTAAAAAAAATTTGAAGCTGAAAAGAAAGCAGCTGAAAGAAGTGAATGGTGATTATATTAATCACCATATTGAGCTTTTGCAAATTCATTTCGTTCGTTCTAAAAGAAACGTGACAATGGCAGCCAGAGATGCGTCACTATTTTCTGCCGGCCCGCATGCACCGAATAAAAATAAAGTTCTTATATAATATTGAAAATAAAGTCTTATCTTTTGAATAAGTACGTACTTATTCGGTGTCGTTATCCGTATATATATATATATATATATATATATATATATATATATATATATACATAATATATATTTGTGTTGTTAAATGAATAACGTACTTTATAACAATAGATGATTTTTCTTCTACAGCGATCTTTTACATAACTTTTTATTAATAGTTAATAAATATATATTATATCAATCATTATAAAGAAATTAAAAAAAATCATTATAAATAAAGAAAGTAATACATATTAAAAGTACCTATATATTGAAGGTTTGTAGCCCCTGGTTAAACGACCGAAAGGTCAATGTCCGTTTTTCTCAATCGATTTGGCACGAACTATATAGGTACTTTCTAATAACCATTTTTAAGTTAAAATAGTTTGCATATTTGAAAAACAACGAGATACACAAGCTTAACTAAAATACCTCTAGTTTGTATGGAAAATTGAATATTTTATATGGAAATTTATTTCTATAAATAATTGTGACAATTAGTTAACCTGATAGTAAGTATTTTTATATAGAATAAGGGTGAAAAACGAGTACACAGTCAACCTGATGGTAAGTGGAAGCGGTGGCCCATAGACATCTACATCTATCCTCGATTAATAACCAAAACGCACATGGGTTGTCACATTTATGAGAACTAACCCCTCAACCCTCTTAAAATTCCCATGCAGTCGCATACGTCCGTCAAATCCCGAGCGGTCGCATGCGACCGCACCCACCTACCGCTAGGGATTTGACGGAATATGGCCGCGGTCTTATCAGACCGCTAGGGGATTGAGCGACTAAGATGGAATGCCTCGTTTCCAGTAAAAAAAATGGACTCCGGATCTCTACACTCACCACACGAAACACAGCAATATTAGGCTGCTATTTTAAGCTGGAATTCTGTGAAAGCGTGGTCCTTCCCCGGTCGAGTCGACCCATTCGTGCTACAACCGTAATATAGCTGCATCGTATGAAAACCAGTAAAAATGAACAAAGTATACCCATAATTAGTCCTCGATTAAGAAATAAAATGCAGGTTGTGATTAACCCTTAGGGTTAAGATGGAACGCTTTCTCACACTCATTATAATAACGGTATTCTTTGCGAGCGTGGTCATTCAAGGGTATAGTCGACTAATTGTGCTATATCAATAAATACACTCTAGTTTGGCTCTACAACTTCTTCTACTTCTTCTATAGTAGTCAGTTACAACTACTGGATATGGAGCTCTCTCGCAAATCCTCTTTGATTTGCCTTAAACGTTACTCTTGGCAGACGGATTGACAAACATATTAAAATTGCTGATAGCATTAAAATCTGACTGCACTACATTCGCCACAGTAATTACACAAACTGTTGTACAAACAATTGTACAAACATTTGTTGCAATCTTGTCAAAAGGTTATATAGCGTTGTGATAAATATTTAATAAGGGTACTTGTATTAGAACCAGTGTTAACCGTCAAACGATCAGTAAGCTGTTGAGGGAACGTACCAACCAGAAACCGATGAACAAGGAGGGCTCTCCCGTGGCAGTTACACACTCCTAAGTACAGCGTAAAAACAACATCCCTTCTCAAAGATTTTCTTCTGTATCGTGGATGGTTTACACACATAATTTGTTCATCGACGAAGACGAAGTCGTGCAAGAGAGTTAAGTTCAGGCAAATCAGTGGTAGACCATAAAGCATCTAGATGGTTTCCTTAATTTTGTAATGTGATGCTGTGAAATTTAGCTACATAACGTTGATATTCTGGTAGATCGTAGTCGTTCCCCGGTCGATCCGACCCATGCCTGCTGCAGCCATAATAATTATAGCTGTCACGTAGCTCGATCACATAAAAAAGCGTTACATTTTTTTACAATATTCTTTAATACAGTGATATTGGTTTTCTGCCCTTAAAATATTTTTTCCTTATTTAAAACAATCTGAAAACCACGTTTCTTTTTCATTTATGCCTATATTAGTCCTTTATAAAAAAATCTTAAACTGTTGTTTAATTTTGTAACTTGCGTTTTATAAAAAAAAAAACGTAAGGTATCATTTATTTTATTTTTTTCCGTTGCGATCAACAAAAGGACTACGAGTAGTACAAACAGTAAAACTAAAACATAGAGTAAAATACAAGAAAG